CGGTATTGCGGATGACTCGGTATAGCGGATAAATTTCCTGGAACAAACATATCCGTTATACCGAGACTCACTGTGTACTAATTATAATCATAATAATGATGATTCTTTAAGACGGAAAGTCATTTTGTAATCGTGAATTTAGTTATACATTGAGGTCAGGTGTATACATAAGATATTGTTCATATAATAATATCGAAGAGTTCAAAAGTGATATTTCGAAAAAATGCCCAGCAAAAATTGATATTGGAGCAATTTATACTACAAGAGTAAATAAAACTTTGATTAATAATGACCACAAGGAGAGGAAAAAAGGTTGATCAACAAATAATTAATCCATTATTATTATTTTTTTTTTTTTAAAAAAAAAATAAAGCCAGCAGATAAGAAAACCTCTAAACCATCAGAATTTAAACCGATTAAAAAAGAGGTGGTGTTTGATATTGATTTGAAGGACTATGATGATATTAGAACTTGTTGCAGATAATGTGTATATGTGTGGTTTTATATGAATATTTATACATTTGTGTATTTGTATATTAAATTTATCTATTACATTTTATTTAAAGTGGTGGTGATATTTGCTCAAAATGTTGGAAATTTATGATAATTGCAATCAAAATAATTGATGCTGCATTAAAAGGTTAAACAATCACTCAACCTTTATTTTTTATATGATTTTTGTGATTAAAAACTTGATTCATGTGACTCACATAATTCACATGTGATTTTTCTGTAATTCTAACATTTAGAGGATTTTGGATTTAAACATTTGTTGTGGGTGTATTCAGGTAGATGTGGTATTCATTGTTGGTTTGTGATGAGTCAGCCAGGACATTAAACAATAGTGAAAGAAAGGCCATCACATCTTATCTGGAAATCATTAAGGTTTGCCACCTACATGTGTACATGTGATTATATATATTTTCTCATTAATTTATCATTTTTCATATATACACACAATAGGGTAGTGCACAAGTGGAAAAAAAATTAATCTTAGACAAATGCATCATTTGCATCCTTTCATAAGGTATTTTGTTTACAACTTGAAATATACATGTATATTACTGTATGATGTTCATACTTATAAATAAATAAATAAATAAATATATATATATATATGTAATTAGACAATCCTTAGATACAGTGAACCAATATTTTGATGATTTAATATTGAAGGATCAAGATGTTTTGAAAGATGAAAGTTGTTGGAACAAAGTTTTAGGGTGTATTCCTAATGAGGGTAAATATTTAATCAGTAATCACCAAAAGAGGAATTGAGGAAAAGATGGTGATGTTTTTCTTTTTTTCATATTTTTTTCAAGTATAGAAACAAGGAACACTTTAAAGAATCGTTGGTCTGAGAACCCTTCACAAACATCTTGGATAGATAGAAATATCTGGTGAATAAGTTGAATTCTGCCACAGGCAAAAAGGGAAAGGGAAAGGTAATAATGATGATAAATGTTTGCTTCATTGTTTGTTAATTAGTTATATTATAATTTTTGGAATTTCATTACCATTATTTAGTTTACTAGAGACAAAGTAGGATGTTTGCTGAGGGAAATCATTCTTCAATATACATACCCAAGACTTAATGAGACAGTATCAATAAACATTAATCATTTATTGAAAACTCCATTTTGTGTACATCCTAAAACAGGCAAATATTCAATTAAAATGATGCCATAATATCCAATGATATATGTATAATAAATGCAAATAACAATTGTAGTTGTTTTATTTGTTAAGGAGGGTGTGTGTTCCAATTCCACCAGAAACTTGTGATGACTTCAATCCATTAAATGTCCCAACAATCAAATCACTCAAAGAGCTGGATAGATTTGGTAAGGAAAAATCCATGATTGTAGGTGATTAAATTAGAAAAAATATAAAAATATATTGTATATAACATCATTTGTTTATTTATATTTTTGTTCCCAAAAGGTTATGAGAAAATATCATTTGTATATTACTGTATGATGTTCATACTTATAAATAAATAAATAAATAAATATATATATATATATGTAATTAGACAATCCTTAGATACAGTGAACCAATATTTTGATGATTTAATATTGAAGGATCAAGATGTTTTGAAAGATGAAAGTTGTTGGAACAAAGTTTTAGGGTGTATTCCTAATGAGGGTAAATATTTAATCAGTAATCACCAAAAGAGGAATTGAGGAAAAGATGGTGATGTTTTTCTTTTTTTCATATTTTTTTCAAGTATAGAAACAAGGAACACTTTAAAGAATCGTTGGTCTGAGAACCCTTCACAAACATCTTGGATAGATAGAAATATCTGGTGAATAAGTTGAATTCTGCCACAGGCAAAAAGGGAAAGGGAAAGGTAATAATGATGATAAATGTTTGCTTCATTGTTTGTTAATTAGTTATATTATAATTTTTGGAATTTCATTACCATTATTTAGTTTACTAGAGACAAAGTAGGATGTTTGCTGAGGGAAATCATTCTTCAATATACATACCCAAGACTTAATGAGACAGTATCAATAAACATTAATCATTTATTGAAAACTCCATTTTGTGTACATCCTAAAACAGGCAAATATTCAATTAAAATGATGCCATAATATCCAATGATATATGTATAATAAATGCAAATAACAATTGTAGTTGTTTTATTTGTTAAGGAGGGTGTGTGTTCCAATTCCACCAGAAACTTGTGATGACTTCAATCCATTAAATGTCCCAACAATCAAATCACTCAAAGAGCTGGATAGATTTGGTAAGGAAAAATCCATGATTGTAGGTGATTAAATTAGAAAAAATATAAAAATATATTGTATATAACATCATTTGTTTATTTATATTTTTGTTCCCAAAAGGTTATGAGAAAATATCATTAAATTCACATATAGAATATTTTGAACATTTTGTTCAAAATATAGAAGCTGGAAAAAGAGATAAATTAGTAGCATTATTTATTGGATTTTATCTTAAAAAAAAAGGAAAGAAAAATTATTTACTAGAAAAACAAACCACACATGGTAATAAATAAAAATTGTATCTTTGCAAATAAAAAAATTAAATGATAAACTTAGCATATTTTTCTGTTATTTGATGTGTTCATGAAATCACAGAGGTTTATAAAATTATCTTCAAGTTCTAATCAGATTCCATGTTATTTGGTATTTGAAATAACAAATATAAATAGAACCAAATCAATTTATCCCCCAAAAAAAATATATAATATTTACACAAATTTACACAAATTTAATGATTTCCTGATGTTGGCTTGTAGGATCAAAAGACAAGTCAGGAAAGCATTTACAGCCCTAGCTGAAGTCGATTTACACAACAACTAGATTAAAAGAAACACTTGACAGGATGATGACTCTTTAAAAAGTCTTGCAAGGAAACTCTTTTTCCTTACATCAAAATTCAAGTTAAAAAAAAAATGTTTGATCCCTGAAATTTTTGATAATACCAATGTTCACTTTGTCTGGTTTTGTTGCAGTATGCCCCATATAATATATGTTTTCTTGGTAATTAACAATTAACAATGTCATTTCAAGCCTGATCAAGAGAAATTTTGAGAAGTATAAAGCTTTCAACAATAATAACTTAATTTTTTTGCATCAGCTGTTCAAAAACTCTTGTGTGTAAAGTTTTTTATGTAAAGTTCTCTTTTTTACTATGAAATGTATGACATTTTTTAATTTAGGAGTGGAGACAGTTTTGGAATTGGAAGATCTGCAAATATATATATGTGAACATTGAGTTGTCCCCCCATATATTTACTTACCCCTAGCTAGTACTATATAGAAATTTAGGGTAACACTAAAATTTACTCAAAATATATTCGCAAGATTACAAAAATCGAAATAACTCTTAAACTATATGACGTATCTAAATAAAATGACATGGTTTGGATTCACATTTTGATGCTGTTTAGGCATATAGAGAGCTTTTTACAAATTTATTTGCATAAAATTTTGTATCATATATACATAACTTTCCTTTTTTTCTTTTAGCTTAGAATAAGTGATATGATTTATATTAAAATCAAAAAAAAACTCTCTATAGGGACATTTATCTATCCTTCTAATATATTTTAAACTTAATTTGGAATCTGTACCTCTGTTCTTTAAAGAGTTATTTTCATTCAAAGTTTACTATTTAAAAAAAGATTGATGAAAAATCCTTCTTAATAAAAATTTATATATGTGATCAACTATGTTTGTAAATCATATGATGTGGGACACCCCAATAAATTTACCCAAAATCTAATTGGCTAATCGAGAAAATCTGCACTAATATGGTCAAATTACGGCCATTTTTGGTAATGATATTCGCGTGCTCACTATTAAGTTTACCCAAATTTAGGGTAACCTATCTATGTGGTTTCCGGGGTCCTGGTATGGGGACAACTCAATGTTGCACATATTACCGTATTCTCCCGAATATAAGCAACACCATTTTAACACATTTTAGTCAACAAAACTGCAGGTGTTGCTTATATTT